AATCCTAGAGGTGCGTGGTTCGAATCCACCAGATGCTCTGCTGGAGAAGGAGGACAATCTCCTCCTGTACCAGTCAGACCTGATTTGACGGTGTGCGCATGCACACACACACACACACACACATTATTTTTACTGTAACCTCAAACTAGTTAATATGAACATCTAAAACTATATTTTAAAAAATTTTGGATGTGTGCATTTATATTATATTAATGTAAACCATTATTATTTTAAGAAGCTATAGTAAATAGTCTACAATTAATGACCTTGGAATTTTTGCAGAAACTTCAACAGCTTGGACAGTGAAGTCTCGCCAGGCAGTGTCACGTGTCAGTCGTGAGGAGCTGGAAGACAGATTTTTGCGTTTGCATGATGAGAACATTATCCTTAAACAGCATGCCCGAAAGCAAGAAGATAAAATTAAAAGGTTATCTATCATAAAAAGCTTTTAGATTTTGTTCTTACTCAGTAAAGTTTGGGGAATATGCTTTTTTATGAACTTAATTGAAAGCTGTACCTTGAAACTTTTTTGAACCAAGGCTGGTTGTAAATAAATGAAATTTTTAAAAATGGAAAATCTTGCAAACTGGAATAATAAACCAAAAGGATTATGAGTGTTTATTATAACTGAACTTTGTGATTTTAAAGAAAAGTGCTAATAGCTAAGAGTGCCACGAATGTATCATATCTATAAACAACGTTTGATTTAATGCTTATGCTTTAATAAGCAAATAGCCAAACATCTGGGGTTTTCTTAAATAGAAAAAAAAAGTCTTGATTTTAATATGAAAGTTTTAAAAAGTAACTCTGCTAACTTGTGAGGAGGTATGTGTTCTTAAGATCTGAATTCTATTAATGAGAGCATCATTTTAATCTCTGGAGCATATTTAACTTTTCTTGGGTTAGACTAAATATTATGTTTAGAATCTTTGAAAATGTAGACCTGCTATTTCTGAACAGTGGGGGTTTTTTTTATTTGCATACAGGAATAATTTCTGAACATTCATATTCTTTAGTTGCTTCTTATACAAAAACACTCTGACCATCTTCTCAGTGTTTGACTTTAGAAAGGAAAAGTGCCATCATGTTGTTAATCATAAACTGATCTGTCCTCACGTCCTCATCCTCATGTTCTAGGGTCACTAAAAACGTGGACCAGCCAGGGAAGCAAATGAGAAATAGAGCTTGTTTTCTTCCTAGAGTTCATCCTTAAAAGACTATTCTATTTCCATTTTTAATGTGGATTTTAAAAAAAATACAGTTTACTGAGCTGCTGTGTTCAGGGCTGTTACTCTGAGTGTCTTTTCGTGACGACCTTTTCAAGACATTTGACTTACTTTCCTTGCCCGCTTTCTGACCAGCAGCACATAGATGTGAGCTAGTGGGAGTGAGGCATGTAGTCTGTGATCACTAAACAGTTTTGTTTGGTGTTTGGTTGTTGTTTGTTGTGGTGGTGGTGTTTTGGGGTTTGTTGTTTTGTTTTTTTTTTTATTTGTTTGCTTAATTGTTAAGTAAAAGAATTGAATTCACGACCTTGACCTCATTAGTAATTTGTCCTAGCCAGAAAACACAAGCCAACTTAGTGGAGAAAAAAGACCGGGCTAGGAGTCAAATTATATTCATTTGTTGTTTAATCTCACTGCCACTAGCCTTTGGTAAATTCAAGGCATCTAATCTCCTTGGATTTTATTTTACTCGGCCATAAGAATAATGATACAATGGTCACTATGTCCCAAAGCTCTAATTGCTCCTCCATGTCAGACTACTGATACCGTCCTAGATACATGGATAGACTTATCTTTAAATTCGTCCTAAAGATGTAACTATTAACACTTTATTTATGAAACCTGGGTTTGATACACTACTCTATTGAATAAATTCTCTAACTTTGCCAGGTCATGAATGATCTGTTATTATCGTGAGATAAATCAAGTGGATAAATGCATTGCTTGTTGTGGACAAACAGATGCAGTCTTTGCTTTTTAACCACACTTACCTGAACATTTTTCGCATATGCATGTGCTCTGCTTGTTTTAAAAAATTAGATTATTGATTTTCCTCAAATTGTTAGCCGGGTCTTTGAAGAAAAATGTGTGCCTTCTCTTTTAAATGTAATCTATATCTGTATTTAAAAGTGTCTGTGTAACAGAGTACTTAAGTATATAGTTTGACTTCTCATTTGGACAACTATCATATTTTGATGGGTTTTGGGTAGGCTTAGGACTCATTAAAAGGTGAAGTAGAGTTTGCACCTCTGGTATGCTATGATATCTGCACAACTTTCCCAGTAATAGATCATTCTCTAAACTGGGTGAAAAAGGAATTCTTCCATTGATTATTTAACTAGAGTGTTTGTAGTACTCTTAGATCTTGGTTTTTATTATTCTGTATCCTTTATAAAGCATATATAATGGATATGCTTCACAGGAAAAAGAAAACAATCTCAACTGATTATATTATGTACAACTCTCCCTGATGCCACATGCTACAGGCCAAGTAGCCAAAAGTGTAGATAGTCATGTATAACTACTGCATTTACAGAGGACTCTACTTAGGGCAAAAAAAGGTTGTCCTATGACATCCCAAAACTATTAAGAATTTTTTTTTTTTTACTTAACTTTTGGTCTCTTAAGTAAAAACTTCTGTCCATAACTATGCTAAAATAAAGCAAACCCCATTTAAAGAAAAATGAAGTATGTTTTTATTTTCAATCTCCTGTCTGGGTCTTTATAAAAATAGATTCTCTATAAACTAGAATCAGCTATTTGAAGATGTGCGACCAATTTTGTAAAGTCTTGAACTTGTGTGTCTCATCAAAGCCACCTTTCCTTTCTTGTCCTGCCAAGATGTTTCCATTCACTGTCAGGCATGTTTTCTCTATGTGTATATTACATCACCCCCATGTGCCCTTTCTGTCTTTTGTTCTGTCCAAACAGTTTTTATCAAAACTTCAATGAATCAAAGGTATAAACACATGAGAGGTCAAAAGCACAATTTATGCCTATATTTAAAATATTAAGATACTGCTTTTTCATCTAATTATTTTGTGCCATTACACATCATGTTTCTTGAGGAATGAGTAACATTGTGTGGCACATTTTGCTTCCTTGTAAGTTATTAATAACTTACAAGAGGCTTTTAAACTGTGTGCTTCTATACATTGTAGCATTTGTAATATGTCTTAATCCTGTAGAAACTGAAAACAATGTATCACTTAGTCCTGCTTAGTCTTAACACACTTTTGGAAAGTTTTGAACTTGGCTGTGGATTGCAGATCTAACCCACCACATCCACAATCTGTAGCTACATTTAAGTGCATCCAGCATTCCTATATAAGATCATGCGTTAAAAATTGCATTTGAGAAACATATGGAGTAAATATGTGTCCTCCCTTTACTAACCTTAAATGATAAGCCTTCGGAAACTGTTATTTGTCAGTGCTATAAAGCAGATTGTTGCCCAGTGGTTTCAATTATCATCAAAGGGTCCTTCACAGGCAGTAATAGTTACATCAAAACCTGAAATTTATTATTCAGGTTCTGCACTGAAGTCTTCACAGTGATTATGTTCCTTTCAACAGAATGCATTTTATGCTGACTTCTCACATTCCTTTTCATCTTTTTATTATTTCCCCAGAATGGCCACCAAGTTAATACGGCTAGTTAATGACAAGAAAAGATACGAGCGGGTTGGTGGCGTCCCCAAGCGGCTGGGACGAGACGTGGAAATGGAAGAAATGATTGAGCGCCTGCAAGAGAAAGTCCATGAGCTGGAAAGACAAAATGAAGCCCTCAAAAACAGGCTCATTTCAGCCAAACAGCAACTTCAAATCCAAGGTTACAGGCAAACTCCATACAATCACGTGCAATCACGTATTAACACTGGGCGCAGAAAGGTAAATGAAAATGCAGGAACACAGGAGTGCCCCCGGAAAGGTAAAAAAAAAATTCCAAAAGTAGAATCTTTTACCAGATTGTATTAGATATATGTACACATACACGTTTTAAATTGCTATATTATTATTCTTTTAAGTGTCTTTAGAAAAATATGCAAGAAACGTTTGTTTTTACTTAGTGTTTTATAAAGTTAATATTACCATGAAGGTCATTTTATTTATAAATCACTAGTCATTCTCAACTTTTGTGACCTAGAGTGCCCAACGCGTTGTTCATCCTAAGCGATGAAAGAAACGCGTGAAACTAAGTAATGTTTTTATCTCATTTAGTCTGATTGGCTTTTTAATTTACAATTACTGATGACGATTACATTGACTTCAACAAGTGAGGTAACCAGCTGGTTTGTTTCTAGATGTTATCACCATTTTGAACGAAGCGTTCTAAATTCTTCAGAGGTCTTTTATAAAATGGTAAAATTATTTCAGTCTTCTTCATTGCATGAAAACAGCATGGTAAGAGTATGTATCATGACTCTGGGCTTGATAAGTTGAGTTCCTACTCTACCCATAAACTGGTAACTTTGGACAAATGGCCTAAACATTGGGAAAAGTTGGAATTGACTTGACAGGAGTGGCTTTGTGATTTTGTTTCCTTGTATCTATAGTAAAGTGGGAACAAGTAGCCCCTTCCATCTGCAAAAATAATCATAGATCACACTCCATCCACATTTCGAAAATCAATGATCTAAATCTACCCAGGCTGCAAAGCAATTCAGTTTCATAGAGAAGAGTCAGTATAGACCCAAATATCCTGAAATCACCAGTTCTCTCTACTCAAACTACTTAGGCTAAAACTAAACATCAATAAATGTTTTAACAAACATTTTTATTTCAGCTATTAGGAGAGGAAATCTAGGTTGCCTTAAGTGAGTCTATACTTTCATGTAGAATGAAGATCAGACATTTGTAGACACAAAAATATCACGTAAAACTTTAGTTTTAATTCATTGAGTAACGGGGGGAAATACCATATGGACAGAAAAGAAGAAAAATTGGTTCTAGTTTTCTCTCCAAGCCAAAATGTTAACACTTTCTGCTCTTTGAGTTTCTTTGAAGTCTTTAAGGCCTGTATGTAGGCAGCAGGCAGCTGCGGGATGAAAGGGCTTAGCTCCTCCTAGCTTATCTGAGGTTCCAAACAGATTCTGAAAATACCTAATGTGATCATCACAACTTGGGAAATACAGTCTGCCACTATCAACTTTTCTACCTAAAAGAGAGCACTTAACCTCTCAAGGCCTCATTTTGCCTACCTGTAAAATGGAGTAATAATGCCAGATTAAGTGAGGTCTTTGATAATAACTCTGCTATCATTTACCTCTTAAAGGTCTCGTCCTCTCTGACCTGTAGTTTTGTCATCTGTGGACGTGAATAAGCTGCAGTCTTTTGAACTTTATATAAACATTAATCAAAACTTAAAAATCAAACTCTACTGCTATGATTTGATACTTCAATATATGAGTTTAGTAGGAATTTCTTTCCATGAGGGGAGGAAATAAAGACACACAGCAACAGAGCATAGTTTGAATTTCTCCTGGGTATACAGAGTGATTCAGACTTTACTCTTTTTTTGAAACACAGCCTAGGACATAGAAGTTTCAGAAAGCATTAAGTCATGACAGATACTTTAATCACTACTTTCCTGAGTAAACTTGAGGCATCATTACCTTGGTAACCCTGAGAGATTCAGAATATATCCCAGCCAGGGCTGACTGAGTGAGAAACCCTGGCCCTCTCTGGCAAAAGCTGTGAGTAAATATTAGTGCTTCCTCTATGCACCTTTTTGGTAAAAAGAATGGAAGCAGTGGGCCTAAGTAAGGTATAATCAGTGCAGTGAGAACAAAGGTTTTCCTAAAGTATGTATGTATATTTTTAAATATACCCAAGTGCAAATCATATCATCATGAAAGTTTTCGTTGTGTTTTGAATATAGTTTCTTTTCTTTTTAATCCCAGTTGTGTTGACTTTTTCCATAATTGATATACGAAAATAATAAAAATTGTCATTGCTTGTAAAGTAATGCAAGAGAAAAATGAGCAGGCCCCTTTCACATTTATAGCTTCTGAAAGCCTGCTGGAGGGGCAGCTATTAATTGGTTCCAAGTTAATGTCACATGACAACATAACTAAATTAACAGAATTGGCAAATTCTATTTTAATGTTTTAGGTGGACCTTTTTCTCTTCTATAGTCTCAGATTCAGAAATAGATGTTGAAAGGTTTAGAGAGAACAAAGAGTCTCATCGTTCTCATTTTTTTAAAATTCTCATTGTATTAAAAAAATAAAGTGTTCTTTAGATGCTCTGCTAGTAATCGAAAGAATATAGAGTTGAACCCATGAAGAAGTGCTTTAGAAAAAAGACCTGATAATTATATTCCAAAAAGTTACAAACTTGAAAATACTGTGAAGCATAGCTCTATTTTGTACTCCTGTGGTTACCTTGACTGAAAATCGACTCAGTTGAGAGTTAATGGTTTGGTTTTGGTTATTCTTTGTCTTGTTGTATGCTGTAGAGTGACTCTGACACAGAGCCATCCCTGGTATCAACGTAGAACTACCCCATTGTATTCTTGGTTGTAATCTTTACAGAAGTAGATCACCACATCTTACTCCCATGGAACCATTCAGAGGATTCAGAGCACCCCCTTTCCACTTAGTAGCTAATTGCTTAACCCTTGTACCACTAGGGCTGCTTTTACCTACCTTAAGCTCTAACAGTGTAAATTCTGGTAGATTAGTGGTAAGGTGTTGCCCCTGCCAACCCGAAGGCAGGTGGTTCAAATTCACCAGCTGCTCCACAGGAGATGGTTTGGGATTTACAGACTCTGAAAACCTGTTGGAGAGTCGAGCTTGAGTCAGTTAGGACTGGATTGGACTTGTACCAGCAACATCAAGTAGCATTAAAAAATATGTCTCATTTTAAACAAAGTGACATGAAAGTTAACAGTGTAAAATTGTATCTAACGTTTTATAAGACAATTTAGGATGTAAACTAAATGAACTAAGTGGGTTTTTTTGTGCTGCTAACCCAAAGCTGACCCTTCCCTGGCCATTCACATCCACCCGCCATTCTGAAGGATGGGCATCCTCTTCCCATGACATTTACAGCCCCGGAAACCTGCCGGAGGGTCAGTTACAGGCCGTTCTAACTCCACAATAATGAGGTTTTTTAGGTTTTTTTTTAAATGATCCAATCTCAGGTTACCTTTTATTTAAGTATGTCGTTGATTTCATTCCAGCCCAAACTGCTTCACAGCTGGCTCTTCAGTGGATTTTCAGATGCAGTAAATTGCATTGGAAGAGACTGCCTTTCCTTCTGCTACAGAGCAGTTGGTGGGTTTGGACCACGTGCCTTTGTGATTGCAGCAGAGCTTCTTATCAGGCTCTCGGATGACCCTTGCTTAAATATTGTTGTTGTTTGCCATTGAGTCAGAACCAACAATATTTGTTGAATCAACTCAACAATAGCTGATCCTGCAGTGGGTTTACAGAGGCAGTAAAACACACTGGAGGAGATTGTCCATCCTTCTCCTGTGGAACAGCTGGTGGATTCAAACCACGTGCCTTCAGGATTTCAGCGCAGCTTTTTACCACAGGGCCAACAGAGCTCCCTTTAAGTGTAGATTTTCTAATTTGTATAGAATAAAGTAAAATAAAAGAAACATTTCCATGTAAACATGTGCATAAATAACTTTAAAAAATTAAAACTTTTCTCTAAAACAGTGGGATAAAGGAAATAGAAGAGGGGGAAAACTCAATTCTTTTAATCTTTTTTTTTATTTTGGTTTCTTATAAAGACCTGAGTCGAAGACCTTAGTTCTTTCAGAAATTACTATAGGAGTGCTAAGCCTAAATTGAATCAAATTATTCCTAGGTAATTTGGTTTCCATAGTAGAAGTTGTTAAATGGGTAACACTTGCTGATGTGTTTAATTTAATGCCAACTAATGGCTGAGATCTTATATGCCCTTTGGTGATATGTTCCTAATTCTCTGTGCTATTGAGAGTATATCTCATAGTACCTAATGAGATATATTATAAATACCCTTATAATATTAAATCATAGGTCTTTACTTTCTAACATCATTTATACAATCAAATTTTTTTTATTTATTTATTTTTAGGTATGAGGTTCCAGAATGCAGATGTAGCCAAAACTCCACAACCCATGTTAACAAAACAGGGCAACAGTTTACTGGAAGAAGCAAGGGGAGAAATCAGAAATCTGTATGTATTATTACTCATGGTCATCTTGGAACTTTATCTATTCTATCATGTCTTTTAGGATCCTTGGCTATTCTTTATTTTAAAGAAAATTGGGTTACGTATAAAGAGTTTTCTGTACTAAAATACAGCTGCATCTGTGGAGTAGCAGACATGATATGATATGTTTTCAGTAAAATGAAGAATATTAACAGCTTCCCCAACTACATTGATGAATTCATATTATATATTATATTATATTATATTATATTATACTATATTATATTGTATTCTATTCTATATATTATATTATTATATCAAACTCCCACCTACAAATGAATAGCATAAATAGGGAGCTCTGGTGACTTAGTGGTAAGGAATTGCGCTGCCAGCCCAAAAGTATGCACAGTTCATAGCCGCCAGCTGTTCCACAGAAGAAAAATGGGCAGTCAACTCTTGTGCAATTTACTCCCTCTGAAAACTTGCTGGAAGGACAGCTAAGAGTCTGTCCCAGCTTAACCATACACAACAACAACAAATCCCAGTCATTTAAAGGAGTATAAGCTAGCTTTTCAATATTTTCATTCTTAGGAAAATGAAACATTCTTCTGGGTCGTGTAACCCTGGTATGTCCACTTGCTGTACAGAGGTAACTCGTGGTTGCTGGGAAGCCGAATACTCTCACCCATGGCTGGACAGTATGGGGTGGAGCTCCCCGATTAAAACAAACTTGGAAGCAGGAGTGGCATCCCCGTCCACAATAGCTTGCCTCTGGAAACCCTATGAACCTGGTGAAAGGACGAAAGTTATACAGGAGGTGTCCAGGACTTTGTTCATAGGGTCGCTATGAGTCGCCTGCGACTCGACGGTACTTAACAACAACAACAACAGGAAAATTACAATAGTTTAGCTGTTTTAGTGGTTAGAAGAAGAAAAAAAAAAATACAAAAAAAAACCCAGGAAATTGAGAGTAGCTAAAAATCAGGAGGCTCTGGTGCCATAGTGGCCAGAAATTGTACTGTCAAACCAAAACACATTCTTCTAATCCACCAGTTGCTCCACGAGAGAAAGGGCACTTTCCTCCTGTGCAATTTCCTGCCTCCGAAAGTCTGCTGGAGGGTCAGCTCTGAGTCGGCTCCGACTTCATGCTACATCATCACAGCAACAACAGTCTAACAATGTGGAGTTACCTGATACGTATGGATGGACTTCAGATTTTATTCCTCTGTGGTTCTGTGTTCTGTGTTCTGTGGTACCACATACTTTATCATACCATGATTTTATATTAATTCCTTTAGTCACAATTAATTTTCAGTGAATCAAAGCATCATGATTTCAATGTGTCTTGAGTCACATTTTCTGCCTTATTTATAAACCTTCCCCTGGATCATAAAAAAAAAAAAAAAAAAAGGACCATCACCTCAGTCTGGTTCCAAACATTTTTTAACATAACAAGCATAATTAATTTCACTGAATTCTATGCTTAGAAACTTCTGAAATGGCCAATTGGAAACCTTCCATTTATATAGAAATTTGGAACCAACCCGTGGCCAAACCTCTACTGGGTTTCTGAGGCTGTAAATCACACAGGAGGAGATTGCCCATCCTTCTCCCATGAAGCTGCCAGGAGATTTGAACACCCAAAGAGACGTGGCCTTTGGATTAGCATGTAACTCACAGAATATGATGCTTTAAATAGTTGCTTAAGAAAACTGCAAAGGAGTTCTGATAGTGTAGCCCACAAGGAATTGCATTGTTAATTCAAAGTCTGGACATCTCCTGCAATTCAGATCTACCAGCGACTCCAGGTGAGAAAGATGGGCAGTCTCTTCTCACTGCAATTTATAGCCTCCAAAGCCCTGTGTTGTGTCTCTCGAGTCAGTACTAACTTAACAGCAATGATTTTGAGTTTTTTATGTTTAAGAATAATACTTGATTTGAAGTACTGAATGAAACAATCTGCCCTGAAGAAAAGCTTGTTCAAAGTAAATTCTGTGCAATCCCAGAGGTGCAGGGTTTGAATCCACCAGATGCTCTGCTGGAGAAGGAGGGACAATCTCCTCCTGTACCAGTCCAATTTGATCACTCAGACACACACACACACACACATGCACACACAAAAAATAATAATAGTAATAAAAAGTAAAATCTGGTAGTCGGTCCTGAGACTTGGAAAAGGGGAAAGATTGAATCCCAGTCAGTACTCTAAGGAAATTTGCATTTGCAAGGATTTGTGGACCCTCAATGAATTTTTGATTGAAGAGATTCTCATCCAAAAGAAGAGCAAGGAGGAAAGGAGAGACGAAAAAGGAAAAGAAGAGGCTATCTTTTTTTTCAGCATTTATTTATTATTATTATTATTATTAATTTTTGTATGTCTAATTGGATCTGACTAGTACAGGAGGAGATTGTCCCTCCTTCTCCAGTAGAGCATCTGGTGAATTCAAACCACGTATCTCTGGGATTGCAGTGCAGCTTCTTGCCAGTAGGCCACCAGAGTTCCCTGAGACTTTTTATTGGAACAAGGTGTGTGGCTTCTGAGACAGGGTAGGATGGGTATCCACCAGATCCACTTCTAAGACTTGAGACTGGAATGTGCTCACTCTTTGCGATCGCCTCCATAATCCAGAGGAGTGGAAGCTGGACATATACAAGAGAAAGAAACAGGCTGAGCTTGCGAATGTTCCTTCAGCACTGCCCACCCAGCATGCACAGCGGTGTGGATGAGCAGAAGGGCTTGAGGAGATGGGAGTTGTGAGGACGCCAGCTTATTGACTTGACCTGGCCCCACAGGAGAGCTAGGGCTGAGTGAGGAGACCCACACACCAGGAACGCATGGAGAAGTGCAGGCACCTGAGCTTGCACCTGATGCCCATTTGAACCTTAGCCATAAGGGACTAGAGATGAGTTGACCAGAACCCAGCCCGATAAAGAGAAGACGGTCCATGCTGTGTGCTAGGGTCAGTTGCTTCGACTTGAAGGCTTGATCTGGACTGGCCGTTGCTTGTGGATACAGATGCTCAAAGTTTCCAAGTTGAACAGCAAAAGGGACATGCTTGTTCCCTCAGAGTACTGGTTTGATAGGGATGGGGGAAATCATACACTGGCTATATTAAAGGGGGTTACTGGAGCTTGAGGCATGAAGTGTGGCTTACACACTTTCACAAAAGTAGCTATAAGATGATTATAGGGGAAGAATACATACTTCAAATAAAAGACTATATAGAACATAATGTACATACATTAAATACAGTGCATTTGAATGATAAAAAATGTTAATAAAATAAAAGAATACAGACTTAAAATTATCTCTTAGATATTTTAAATATCAGTCATTGTTGTTGTTGTTGTTACAAGCCGTCAAGTCACGTGCAACTCATAGCGACCCTATGTACAACAGCCCTAAACCCTGCTCTATCCTGTGCCAGTCGCACTGTCTCTGACACACCCATCCCGATTACCCCAGTCACTGAATCAATCCACCTCATAGACGGTCTTCCTCTCTTGCACTGTCCCTCCACCCTCCCAAGCATGATATTCCTCTCAGAAATAATTAAGAACATGAAATAAATGATAAGCTAGTTGAAGACTTGACCATCATTTTAATACCTGATAATCTGCTAAACATCCGAGCTCATACTAGCTCTTTGAGGCCCTTGTCTTTGGTTGCTGCCCAGCTTGGTAGAGATAAACATGCCAAAGAGCACTAAGTTGTGATTGGCTTTCATCTCCCTTGTTTGGGTGGTGTAGGGGATACACATATGAAAAACAGAGGCCTGTAAATTACCTAAAGATGAGAAGATTGTGCAGTACATAGTAGGTGATCAATAAAACTATTTGAATTAAACCAAAGTCCAGCCCAATGCCTAGGACATTATCTTATAAAAAGTATTATCTTGAATTGTTCCGTATGTGTTTCCAAGTCATTTCATCTCCTATTTTACTATGTGCTGAGGCACTTAAGCTAAAAGTCTTAAGTCTTGCATTCTAGAGCATTCTTTGCACTGATCTTAAATACCGCAAATTTTTCCTCAGAGTACAGATTCTTTGTAATGGCTCTTTATTTCAGAGAAAATGTTACTCAAACACAAAGAGGCCAAATAGAAGAATTGGAGCACTTGACCAACATACTGAAAACTCAGTTGAGGCAAAAAGAAAATGAAATTGAGTTATCTCTTCTTCAGCTTCGAGAACAGCAAGCTACAGAGCAAAGGTATGTTAAAAACAAATAACACTTGGGAAAGGTCAAAATTGGTGTAAAATATTTTCCCATATGCCATAAAAGGAGAGGTTTATCTAGTCTGTTTTTAAAACATGCTTTTATTTTTTATTCTTCTTATAAACTTACTCTGACCCTCTGAACAGCATTTCTGAGGGAAATTTTCCCTAACCTACTGCTGTGTTATTTATTGCAGCAGCTTCTGAGGAGCGCAGATGCTCTCATCTTGTTTCCTCCACTTATTTGCCTCATTTGCAAAGATAGCAAGGCATTCTGATATCATTCGATTGTAGCTACCTAAGGAAATGTAAGGGGTAAGGACTCAGCTGTTGGCATAGCTGGAGCGTAAGATCAGGTTTATTCATCTTCTTAGCTTGAAAAGGTAATGAATACGCAATCCCAAACTGCTCCTCAAAGTTTGCATCATACTCTGTTGATTATTTTGTTGATAGTATTCTCTTTGCTGTCCCTCATTTTTGACATTTCATAGTACGCATTTTCCCCACCCTCCTTTGTCATTCTTTATACCTAACTTCCTTCTCTTATTGGTTTTTACACTGCACTTCGAACAAGGCCTTATTTTATCATGTTCTTTCTCAATTATTTTCCCCTCACAGTGTTTTTCTTCTTTTTTCAATCAAGCGTATCCAAAAGTATAACGAAGCCCTGTTTACTCATTATTGTGGTGGTGGTGGTGGTGGTGTGCTGTCAAGTCGGAACCAACCCATAGCTGACCCTCCAGAGAATTTTTAGAGGCAGTTAATCTCACAGGAGGAATTGTCTGTCCTTCTCCTGCAGAGCAGCTGGTGGATTTGAACAGCTTGCCTTCAGGATTACAGCACAAAGCTTCTTACCACTAGGCCACCAGAACTCCCTATTTTCCTATATTTATTTACCCATTTATTACATTTACCATCGTTGTGGTTGTTATGTGCCATCAAGTCACCTGTGACTCCTAGAGACCCTATGTACAGCAGCTCTGAACCCTTCCCTGCACTCCAGTCCCATCACCCCAGTTACTTTTATCAATCCATCTCATCCAAGGTCTTCCTCTCCTTCACTGTCCCTCCACCCTTCCGAGCATGATGTCCTCCAGGAATCTGTCCCTCCTGGCCATGTGCCCAAAGTATGTAAGACAGAGCTTCAAAATCCTAAGGAGAAACTTGGTTTCACCCTCTCCAAGACAAACCTATTTGTTTTCTTTGCAGCAACACCACAACTCAAAGCCATCAATTCTTCTTCTATCATCCTTAGTCTTTATCTAGTTCTCTGAGGCATTTACCTAGTACTCAACTTTAATAACTGTTAACGTTTACAAATCTTAATTATCTGACCCCTCACTGTCTTTTTCCTTTGGTTAATTAGCCTCAAATGCTCTATTTTCTTGCATTATATACTTTACTATGTGTCTCTGTGCAATAAGAAATGAGTTGGCTTTGTAGTTTTGGAGTATGTTTGTTTGTTTACTGTAAACACCATGCCATTAACACACCTAAACAAACTAACATCAATTCCTTAATATCATATAACCTGCCCATATTTAAACTTCTCTCAAGATGCCTTTCTGCTGTCAAATCAACATCAAAAAAAGAGCTCTTGTACATTACATTTGGTTGTCAGCTCTTACGTCTTTCTTAATGACTTAATGACTTCTTTTTAAACCAAACTAATTCCTCCAATTATTCTTTCCCTTTGTGTTAAATTATTATTCTGTGAGTTCTTAGTTATATAAACAACACATACAAATTTTTCCATTTTCTTTTCAGATTCACACTGTAGTCCTCTTTTAAATAATCTTACTTAACATTGTAAAATATGAAGATAAGAAAAAGATGCATACCATCAAATTTGTTAAAAAATTATAAAGTGGGCTAAAAAGTACATAGCAGCTATAGAGTTCAGATAGTTAAAATATGAGAATCTATTAAAATGTTAGAACTTCTGCTAAAACTTTTACTTGTAACACTGTTTAATGCAATTCTATTTAATGACATTTACATATATTTATAAGTACAGAGCAAAAGAAGCATGAATATTTTTGAAAAAATATTTAAATTAGGAGAAGTAATCTGGATCCTAATTTTAAGGCAGCTTGAATACCTAGGAGGCATGCATATTCCCCAAGAAAAAGGACTGGTTTAAACTCTAGTGCTGACGGACAGGACACCAACACGGGGCATGGTGATCTTTATAAGTTACCACAAACCACAAAAATAATGCACCAGTCAAGTCAAAAAGTGGGAGCCATCCCAATCAGCTTTACTCAGCTTCTGAGTGCAAGATTATGTTTCTTTATAGTTCTCAAATTTATAGAGAGAAAAATGGACATTACGCTATTCTCTTTTACAAAGACATGATTATCTAGGAGCTCGGCTCTCTTGTTAACTGAGTGCTGAACAACACAAGCATGCATACATAGAGGTGTTTACTTTGAAAACAGACCTAAACTCTGACCATCCTCAAAAAACTAGATCACCCACACTGTTGTTGTTGTTGTGTACCATCACGTCGGAAATAATTCATAACTGACCCTCCAGTAGGTTTTCTGATGGAGCACCTAGTAGATTTGAACCACTTACCTTTAGGTTAGCAGTGCAGTTCTTTACCACTAGGCCAACAAGAGTTGCACTGCTAACTAAAAGGCCCATGGTTCAAATCCACCAGCTGCTCCATAGGAGAAAGACGGGTAATTAATCACTTCTCCTGTGAGTTACTGCCAGAGAGTCAGCCATGAACTCTATGGACCACAACAACTACAGAGGCCACTGACAGCAGTCTTTGTTCTCACTTCAGGAACTTAGAAGCAGAGGCTATTTTAGGTAAGGAACTTTTTGTTGCAGAGGCCAAAGAAGTAAATCAATTCATACCCTATCTCCCTATCTTATTGACTTTATAAAATTGAAATTTTATATATTGTTTGCTCAGAAGAAAAGATAACTGTAGGTAAAAGTATATTGTATCGCAAATAACAATTGTTGAAAACCAAAAGAGTAAGTTAAAATAAGAAACTTAAAGGCTTTTTAAAAAACATTTACATATAGTTCAGTATTTTATATGTACCAGAATTTTTTAAAAAAAAGAAAAAAACTAATGGAAAACTGTTGAGAAAATGTAAGAATCTAAAACTGGGTGTAATTTACTATACAGAAAAATCTCAAAATCGAAAACATATTTGAACTTCTCTTTCACGGATACATTATTTCAAATTTGAAATTCTAGAAGTCTGATCTGGAGGTTGTACTCCTTGTTCTAAACATGAACCTAACGTAGTTGTAATCTTCAGAGTGTGCTGCTTGATATTTATGGCAGAGAGCCTTTTCATAGAATATTACAGAAATTTTTCATAGTATGTGTTTAATAGACCAGTTTGGTTTGGCATCAGCTTGACATAAACTTTTGGTTATCCAAAGCCCTTAATTGCTTTGAAGTAAAAGCCCAGTGCTGTTCTTTTTTATTAAAATCATGTTTTTTCCTGTTGCTGTGGTCTATTTTGGAAGACTGAGTTGTGATTTTTGCATATGTTCTACATAATGCCTCATTAGCAAAAAATTCTGTATCATATACAAGTAGCCTGAATGTCTGTGTTGTTTTGAACAAAAATCCATATTAAAATTTAAACAATATAAAAATGTACATTTTCTGCTTATTAAAAAAGAAGTCTTAAATGCAAAGCAGTAACCAGTGAACACATGTACATAAACATTATAATCAGAATGATTTTAAACTCCAAAAATACTTGTATTCTCACCAACTGTATCACTGGTTTGTGACAAATTTTTTTTAATAAATTCTAGATTGTTTCACTTCTTTGTGAAAAATCACATAAGTACTATAATGGCCTCATAGAGAAATATGTAAATAAATGTTTTAGACAGTCTAACATGCCCTTGCTGGTGGACAGCAGACTGTCAAATCCAGTGGAGAGACTGCAAAACTATGCACAAGACTTCTTGGCTTTAAGAACTCCTTCTTTCCCCTATAAACACAGATAAAGGAATTCTTTCCAGCACTTTAAATTCTTCTTCAATGTATTGAAAAATTGCAAAGCTGCGAAAGAGTTGTTGTTGTTGTTGTTGTGTAACATCAAGTCAGAACTGACCCATAGCTGACCCTCCAGCAGGTTTTCAGAGGCAGTTAATCGCATGGGAGGAGACTTCCCATCCTTCTCCCACGGAGCAGCTGGTGGATTTGAACCACGTGGCTTGGGGATCCCAGTACACCTTCTTCCTGTTAGGCCGCCAGAACTGTTGTCAGAAACCTCTTTAAATTGATAAATAGCAAGGATGTCAGTTTAAAGACTAAAGTGAGCCTGATCTAAGCCATGGTTGCTCCATTCATATGTGAAACTTGAACATGAATAGGAAAGGCCAAAGAGTAATCAGTGCCTTTGAATTATGGTGTAGGTGAAAAGTGTTAACTATTCCATTGAAGTGCCAAAGGAACAAACAAGTCTGTCTTGGATGAAGGGAAACCGGAGGGCTCCTCAGAGACAAGGATGGTGAAACTTTGTCTCACATACTTTGTTGTCAAGAGACATCATTTCTTGGAAAAAAGATCACACTGGGAAAGGCAGAGGATCAACAAAAGAGAGGAAGACCTTCACCAATAAGGACTGACGTGGTCATTGTTATGGGGAACTTCAGCATGGTGGCGGTTCTGGAGATGGCTTAGGCTAGAGTAGAATTCTCATGTGGTGTTCATAGGGTCAGTGTGAGTTGTAGTTGACTTAATGGCACTTAACAAGAATATGCACAGGGGAGCTCTGGTGGCAAGGAGCTGCAACTACAATCCCAGAGGCGCATGGTTCGAATCCACCAGATGCTCTGCCGGGGAAGGAGGGACAATCTCCTCCTGTACCAGTCAGATCTGATTTGACGGTACACGCACACAAAAATAATAAAGAATATGCACAAGGAGAGGAGCCATGGTGATGCAGGGGTTAAGCTTAAAGTGGACAGTTTTATCCCACCATCCACTCCATAGAAGAATGATGG